TTCAGAAAAAGCATGTGTTTAAACATACAAAATATAGTTGTAGAAGAAACCAAAATTATAGGATGCCTAAAAAATCAGTTATACTATGAACATGATGTAAAGGGGCCTTTTACAAAAAATGGTACATTTCTCGCAATTTATAAGAGCTAGAAATTTTGAATGAGATAAAAAATTATTTTTTTGATCTCACTTTTAGGTAGATTAATCAACAAACCGTCTACATCAAAAGAAGCGGATTAACATATGCAAAAACATCTTTAAACAAACTATACCCCTAAAATCAATGTTTGAGAAGCTATTAAAAAAGCACACGAAAACGGCAAAAAGCAACACTGTGCATTGGCTGGTTTATTTATTTTTAATTGTGCAGTTATAGTTAATAAATACTTCGAAAAAATCGTACAAATAGTTATGTTTGTAAAGTAGATAAGAGATAGCTGTGAGCGGTTATAGAAGCCAATTCAACAATGTTCCTTATCCCGCTTCCCACTCTTAAACAAATCTAAGTCCAAGAAAGTCGATTAGTAATTCTTTTTCCGAGATAGGGTTAACGCACCAATAGTGGAGGTACGTTAGTTTGATGTGTTCCTATAGTGGCTTATGGAGACTATATATTCCACTATATGAACACATTGCATTAACGTATCTCCATTATTGGTGCGTTTGCCCTAACACAATATCTCGATGTTTTATGCATTTTCAAGTCATTTGACTTAATTTTTTTATTTGACTACCTGTATTTCATGTACCCCTCCTCTCTCCCTTTGGTGAATTATAGGATTTCAAAAAATTAAGAATTTGACGATATTGTGCCACCCTAAATCTTGGCCGATTGTCCCCAAATTTTGCGTAAGGTTTTTCTAAGACAATACACATTTTTCACCAGGCTTGCTTCCACTCAAATGCTATAAAAAAAATATTTTCGGAATTTTGAAATCATTAAATATTATAATGATATTTTGTACTTGCTAAATACAAGAAGGTGTTGAAAAGTAAGTGTTTGACACATAAAACCTGTCAAATTCGCTTTCAGATAGTCTTCTTCTTCTTCTTATTCGCATTTCAAGCTTATTGTATATCGCATATTAGCTTATTGCGTGCTCTCAGCTTAGTGTTCTAGATGCACTTCCACAGTTATTAATTGAGAGCTTTCAATGCCTGTACCATATTTGCATTGGTAAAATTGTGTGGCAAGTCCACTCATACTTCTAGGCCCAGATTAGAGATCAACTAGCCTAAGGCTAAAAATCTCTTTAATAAAAAATTAAAAAAAAAAACTTATATGCCCAGGGAAGTCGAGAAATTTTCCAACCCGAAAAATACCTAGGCCAGACCGGGAATTGAACCCAGCCACCTCCAGTATGGTCTTGCTTTGTAGCTGCGGCTTTACCGACTGAGCTAAGGGAGGCCCCATAGATAGTCACAATCTGCGATTTTACGACTCGCGAGTGCTCACTCTGAGCACATAACGGACCTTATTACGGGTGTCACTACACGGTGATAAGGAAGTGATGCTCAGAATAAGAACTGTGATTGCCGTACAAGTTAAATGGGAATCATTTCACCGTGACGACAAGTGACAAGTTTTCACCGTGAAGTGACATCCGTAATGATCCCCAACATATGTGGAACTCGATCAAATCAAAAATCGACCCTACTTCAGCAAGCATGGGAAAAGTCGTTTCATTTTGCAATTTACTACTCACGCACACGCATACAATATCAGAAACAAACAGCAGCTTGTGCAAAAACTCACCCGTCATAGGTCTAAATTTTTCATTATTGGTGATTTTAATGCAAAACACCGCTAATAGAATAACGCTCAAAGCAATTCCAATGGTAATATTCTGTTTGATGATTGTTCTGCAGGTTATTACACTATTCAATATCCAAACAGCCCAACATGCTTTTCTTCTGCAAGAAATCCCTCAACTATTGATTTTGCCTTAACTGATTCATGTCAACTTTGTATAAAATTGGTTACCCATGTTGACTTCGGTTCTGATCAGCTTCCAGTAACTTTGAAATATCCCAAGAAATAATTTCTAATCCCAACAGCTCTACTTTCAATTACCATAGAACTGATTGGGAGCAATATCGAACATTTATGGAATATAACTTTGATCCAAACATTCCTTTGCAAACCAAAGACGAAATTAATTATGTTCTTGAATCTATGACTTCTTATATAGTTAAAGCAAGAGCAGCCTCAGTACCAAAATGCGAGGTTAAATTCGATTCAATTATAATAGACGACGATCTTCAGCTCTTGATCCGTCTTAAAAATGTCCATAGGAGACAATATCAAAGAACACGCGATCCTGCCATGAATGTTATCTGGCGGGATTTGCAAAAACAAATTAAAAAGCGATTCTCTGCCCTGAGGAACAAAACTTTTGAAAATAATGGTTCTAAATTAGACCCGAGTTCCAAACCCTTTTGGAAACTCACAAAAATTTTGAAAAAACCTCAAAAGCCTATTCCAGCGCTTAAAGAAGGTGGTAAAATTTTGATCACAAATTTGGAAAAAGCTCAGAAACTTGCTAAGCAATTCGAGAGTTCTCACAATTTCAGTTTGGGTCTTACTAGTCCTATTGAGAATCAGGTTGCTCGGGATTATCTGAATATTTTCTCTCGGGAAAATATTTTTGATGATTCTTGGGGGACTGATTTGGATGAAGTAAGGTCTATAACTAAAAAGTTTCAAAATGTGAAAGCTCCAGGTGATGATGGAATTTTCTATATCCTCATCAAAAAACTCCCACCGAGTACCTTGTCTTTCCTGGTAAAATTATTTAACAGATGTTTCCATTTGGCATACTTTCCTGATAAATGGAAAAATGCAAAAGTTGTTCCAATTTTGAAGCCGGATAAAAATCCAGCTGAAGCTTCTAGCTACCGTCCAATAAGTTTGCTTTCTTCAATAAGTAAACTTTTTGAAAAGATAATTTTAAATAGAATGATGCTTCACATCAATACGAACTCAATTTTTGCAGATGAGCAGTTTGGATTTCGCCATGGGCATTCAACTACTCATCAACTCTTAAGAGTTACCAATTTAATTCGTTCAAACAAATCTGAAGGCCACTCAACTGGAGTTGCTCTTCTAGACATAGAAAAAGCATTCGACAGTGTTTGGCATGAAGGTTTGATTGCTAAATTGAAAAAGTTTAATTTTCCACTTTATATTATGAAATTAGTTCAAAATTATTTAACTGACAGAAGTCTGCAGGTACATTATCAAAATTCCAAATCTAATCGACTACCAATTACAGCAGGCGTTCCTCAGGGTAGCATTCTAGGGCTTATATTGTATAACATTTTCACTTCGGACCTCCCTGATTTGCCTCAGGGTTGCCACTTACCTTTGTTCGCCGATGACACAGGCATTTCCGCTAAAGGAAGAAGTCTTCGTGTTATTTGCAGTAGACTGCAAAAAAGTTTAGATATTTCCTCTTCTTATTTACAAAAATGGAAGATTTCTCCCAACGCTTCCAAAACTCAACTTATAATATTTCCACATAAGCTAGAGCTTCCTTTTTGAAACCTAGTAGTAGTCACATAGTCACTATGAACGGAGTTCCAATTTCCTGGTCAAACCAAGTGAAATATCTTGGATTAATACTTGACCAAAAATTAACTTTTAAAGATCACATTGAGGGCATTCAAGCCAAATGTAACAAATATATAAAATGTTTGTATCCTCTTATAAACAGGAAATCCAAACTTTGCCTGACGAATAAACTTCTAATATTTAAACAAGTTTTTAGATCGGCCATGCTTCACGCTGTGCCAATATGGTCTAATTGTTGCACAACCAGGAAAAAAGCACTTCAAAGGATTCAGAACAAAGTTCTGAAGATGATTTTGAAGACATTTAGGTCGAAATTAGTAAGTTCGTTAGTGTCAACATTTGAGTCACCTCCAGGAAGATTTGAAGAACTTTTAATACTTCGTTTCTTCTGCACAGGTCTTTCGTATTGATATATGCTTTTCCGACACACCAAAACAAGATTTAGGCTCATTCAGGCAAACATCGAAAAACTTATCGATGTTATATTTGAATCGCCCCTAAGCCTCCAATCCCCGATTATTTCGTACAATATGGGGACGATTGCACCCATAAGTATACATCCTAAATACCCCAGACAACCAGAATGCAGGTATATTCAACGTTGTTTTCGTGACATACAAACATATATACAAACAAACAACTCGTGTAAAATGTAAAGAAATTGCTTATACATACAAAAGTGGAGGCCATATACGTGCATATTTTAATTTAATTTTGAACGAGTTTATTTAACATCATACGCGGTTCAATCTGTAATAACAAATATATTTGAAAAGTCTTACGATGTAATCCAATTTAATTTGTGATACAGCACGACGGAAAAATGAGTAATCGCATATAAGTCGGAAATCTGCATTCTATGCGATTTAACTTCAACATAAGGCGAGGTATGCCATTCTTATATGCGATTTTGCCTTAAACTGTAGCAATTTACGATACTGTCTGTACATTGTTATACGACTTCTGGTTGTCTGGGACGTAGCCTCATCCGTTCGTGGTGCCCGATTTCCGCAATTTCATAAAGCGCACAACGGAGAAATGAAGGGAAACGTGCTAGATTTTGCGATCTCTTGCTGCATGCTACGAAGTTCTACTTGGAAGCATTTGTGATGCTAGACGAGAACAGGCGATGGGGAAGAATCGGAAGAATACAAATTTATTCGTGGCACTCGAGAGGATCGTTTTTGTCAGTTTTAATGTTGTGGTTTATGTACTACGTGCTGAACAGTGTGCCATGCTGTGTTTCGGCACAGTGTGCAGAGTTGATTACCCCTTGTGAAAAGGTGTACTTTTCGACACTGTTGTTTTAGTTATGAAAAGGAGCTCATTATGTTATTCAAAACAGTGTCGAAAGGTGTCACTTTTCAGTAATGAATGCTATATCTCCAATCACCAACTTAAATATTCATTTATTTTTTTTTACAAGGGGACGGCAGGTGGCGTCAGGTGATCAGACAGTGCGCTTCAGTGTCGGAGACTGGTGTCACCGGTGTCTGCAACTGGGGCGTCTACGAAAATGGCGTCTACTGGGAGGAGTGCTACTGCGCGGAGGATGGCTGCAACCATGCGGCAAGGTCTGTCTCCGTTTCCACTGTCAGCTTGATGTGCCTTCTAGGTTTAAGTTTGATGTACAAGCGGTTCTGCAATTAGGAGAATCTCGTTTACTCGTTTCGAATATTGTCGGAGCCTTTTTAAAGCAACATACATCATTCCATTTTAGTGAGTAGAAGAAAAACTGTAGAATCCGTCCAGATTGATTGTTTTTTTTTATGGGTAGAAGAGACTATTTTTTACTGTATATTTCCGACTCCAGGTAGGAATAAAAGACTTTACTAAGAAAATCTTGTGTTGTTTCGGATGAAAGAAAATCTTCCCGTTTTATTGTGTTTTCAGGTATTTTATTGTACAAATATATCTTCGCACAGTTTCCATGAATTAAACACTTGTACATTTATTCTACCACCGCTATTGGTAGCTTAACAGGGTTTTAGAGGTTTTTTTCCTTGTTTATTATTTTACCAACGAGTTGCTTTTTACTTCGAGTTAGATTAGTCTTATCCTAGATGTTTGCGTTTACCTCTGTCCTAAGGTCTATACGTTAATATGCATACGATAACAGATGAGTTGTATTGAACTATATGCATTCTTCAATTTTCTAACACGTCAATAAAATCTATCTTTCCAATGCATGAGAAAAACGCGTGAGGCTTCATTAAACTGATATTTATATCCATTCAATATATAATGATTCACAGATAATCTATCAACACACCTTTCAGGCATTAGAAGATTGTTAAAACATGAAACACATTTTTGCTCTTTGCTCCAGCTTAAATATTATTATCGGAATTAGTTTCATATCCATTGCCCCCTCCACAGTCTGTTCTTTCGTGATCTTTTCTGCTGCCTCTCTCTCTCTCTCTCTCTCTGTTCTTCTCAAGGCATTTGTCACTTGCTTTGATCTACTTCGGCTTCTCCCGTGGGAGGGGTGAGACAAATCGCAAGCGGGGAGACGGATTACTTTGGCGAAATACTTGATAGCTTCATAAAAGTTGTCACGGATTAATGTGTTTTGGGTGCAAAAATAAAAGAAAGTGGACGAAAAGTTGAGAAATTTGCTTTTGGTGACTGGTGGAGTAAATGGTCTTTTGCGGTTGGTAGAGTTCAGTGAGATCAGTGGGATTTGTCATAATTTACAATTCAAATTTTCAGAAACATGAGCCAATCGAACGAAAAGAAACTTTTTGGTTGCTAGAATAATAAAGTTTGACGGTTCTGGACGACTAGCAATGTGTATCAATTTTTGTTTGGCAGCATTAGGTTGAGTATAGTTGAATATCATAATTTCAAATTAGAAGATCTCACCATTTCATTATTATACAAATGTTAAGGACGGTTCCAAATTGGGTTCTGATTATCCTCCCAAAATTTGAACTCATTTGGTAAGAAACTGACTTGGCACAAACCATTTGAAATTAATATGGAAATTACTGTAGAAAAACCATTTTTTTCATTACCTTCTATGAAAAGCTTTGAGTGTGTTGGTTTATTTCTTATAAATTCCTTTGTAATTGCTTATCTTTTGACAGATGAGCGTATTTCGTCTACTACTTACAGACTTCATCAGTTCCAAGTACTTCATAAAGGGATTCCGTTAAGAGGTTCGACAAATTTAAAATATTGCCTTCTAGCGAAGACAAGAAATCAAGGAGACTGGCAACTCTTCCATTTTCTTATACGAACGCTATGAGACAGGTACAATCGCGTCATCTGCCGTTCAAAGGTAAATGCTTCGAACGAATTTGATAGCAAAGATTACATCCTCAGAAGAAAGGTTTGTGTATTTGCTCATTTTTCTATACGTTGCTTCCACCTTCACTCAAGCGCAGCGCTATTGTATCTGTTGCTTGAATTCTGGCAAAGTTGACAGTCTTCTTGATATGATGTCTTCGCTTCTAGCCTATTTCAATATTGCACTGTTATTAGTTCTATAGCTATTCTTATTGGACATTTTCTCAGTTACAGCTTTGCTGAAGATTGTTAACCAGCCAAACTTTAAATTAAACAGTAGTATCAATTCTTTAGGAGATTGATAATCTTATGGCATGATCAAGCAGCTTTTTGTGGGCAACACTGTATACATAGTAGCCATGATTTTTGTGCTCTATTCTACGCGCTAGAAACATCAATGTTGCCTACTGAACTGCCGATTGAGCATAATTATACTACATCAGCGATTTGAATAATTAATAACTGTTGTTCCTTATATTTAACGGAAGGTGGTCTTCAACAAGAATGCAAAGCTATTATTTTTAAAGCAGAGCGATATGGTGAATTGTTAAATAGATATGGTTTAAAAAAATTGGTTTCTAATAGTAATTTCCATATAAACGTCAAACGATTTGTGTCAAGTCAGTTTCATACTAAATAAGTTCAAATTTTGGGAGTCAGGCTTATTTTTCATGCAGTGTGGTGTATTACATCAAACACATTCGATCATGCAGCGTTTGAGCATGCCCGAGTAAAAATTTAAGCTGAACAGTAAGAACAGATGCGGATTATTGGTTGATTTAAGGTGTACAATGCTGATTAACATCAGGCTGAATATGTAGCTGATTAGTAGTGCATACAGCTAATTATATACCCATAATTCAACCTCAATAAGCTAGCTGATCTAAAGATTGAACAAGCCTTATTTTAGCTTAACAGTACTCCACAAATCAGCAATGCACTACAAATATTTTGATAGCCTGATTTGTTAAATGTAGTCACTCGTTGCATTTCTGAAATTTTAGTTCGGCTAAATTCACGACCTACCTTTCGAAGAGACAAAGTAGATGAGCTTTTTAGAAATAGCTACAGGTAGAAGTGGACTGCGACGTCGTCGGAAGTATTTCTGTGTTTTGACTGCTATATTGCATTGAATTTTCAGACAGAATTCCAAAAATATAGGTCAATTATGGCACTAAAATAGCTTCCACATGACCATTGAAATAAATCGCGTACTTGTGTTGACTATTCTTGAATTTCGGGTACTGTTTCATCTCCGTGTAGGTAGCTTAAAGGTTACCGTTTCTACTTACTGTGCAGAAGGTCGGGAGTTTAATCCCCATAATTCACTCCCCTTCCTTGCAATTTTTCAGTATGGCTTATCCTCTATCCCCACTAGATTTGAAATAAAAACAGTCTGATGCTAAGTGATCGCAGTGACCACAGTGAATCCTGATTAAAAAATAACCGGATCCACTGGCACAACTATCCTTCCCGCACCAATTGGCGAATCACAGAAAAGCCAAAACTGGTCATGGAACACCTAGTTTAAGATCCGCAATTACAAAAATGATTCGGAGTGATTTGAGATTTGGGCGTAATTGATTTTGTAAACAAACGCTTCAATTGACGATTTTTCGCGAATAAAAGCTCAGCCTAGAAAATTAGCAACACCAACAGGTGGAGGAATAATTCATCTAGCATGTGGTATTATTTGATCCCGAGATTGAGCATTTATTCGTGAGAAACCGGCGATTCACGTGTTTGTTTACAAAAGCAATTACGCCCAAATCTCGAAATTCTCCGAAGATATCAAAACGTCTTTACCATTTTCACCCACTAGCCATCTTTGATTCTTCAATTGTCGAGATGCTCACTCTAGTAGCAACGATTGTCAAACTAATAATCCTTCCCCTCCCCAAAGTTCGTGAGGACGTGGCCGACATCGGTATTGATCAATAGCGAACCCCTGACATATCAATATATTGAAGCGTTATGTGAATACGATTATTGTCAATAAAAGCAATCGTGTAGGTCTTATAAATAGAATTAATCAGTGACCTCTTCCGAAACATTGAAGATAGAAATCTAATCCCATGCTCCATCTATGTGGAAACATGTGCAATTTTATTGGTTCTGATAAGTAACGGAGTAGCAACTGGAATTCGCACCTGGACATCGATTATAGTTTAGTGAGTTTATTCCGATCCGAAAAATGATATTGATTCCCGTTTACTATCACCAGCAAACTGAAATTATAATTTGATTTCAGTTTACGCAATTGACAAATTTTACAACCAATTTTGTTTTCATTTTGCCACAGACAAACAGACATAACACATTGAATATTTCTCAATGGAAAACATCGTCGCTATAACATTATCGCCATCTGTTGAGTACACTGTGGTGGGTAGTACGCTGAAAAGATGGCGGTAGTGTGTAAAACGTCAGACGCAAGGAAATTGACTATGTGCGCCACAAGTGGCGGTACTACCAACTACGATACTTTTAAATTGACCGTTAAATGCTTGTTCGATGATCAACTTGCGACTGTTATGTCTGTTTGTCTGTGATTTTGCTGTACATTTGCTCTTCAAAAATATGTTGTTGCGGTTTTGTTATCGGTGTCATCTCCAGTACGAAGACAATCTCTAGTGAAATAGCACTTGGTCGAAACAGTGCGATTTATCGGCCAAATATGACGTATGGTTGATACCTGAAATTGATAGGACATCATTTCATTTGAATATTTTCATGTCACCGGGAATGAACAATCGTCGTTGGTAATGTAATGTAATACAATATATTGGGGAAATGAATGTGATGTCGGCCTAAATGTCCCTAATTTAGGCCCATACATAAATTCAGCAATCGACACAATTTTCAATAGCTAACAAAAATATCCATTAGTACCGTCGCAATGACGTGTTCATCTGGATAACATTGATAAATATCAGATTTTTAGCGATGGGCCCAATCTTAGATCCATAGGCCAACATTGGAGTCATTTACCCTATTATTCGTGTTTACAAATACATTCTTCGAACAGTTAAACACTGGAATAACCCACTAGCGAAAATCGATTTTACTCTCGTTCTATACGTTATACATAATATCGCAAGTAGTGCGCTGTGATCGCACAATGATGCGCTATACAGCGCACTACTTCCGTCACAATCTTCCTTATTCTGCGTCGCGAATGAGGTGAGGTGACTCGCTGTCACTAGTGAGGTGACAGAAGTCACCACGAGTGATGTGACTCTTCGTACAAATCAAATCGAGAGTAATCTCACTCGCGAGTTTGGTCACTCACTAGTGACAGCTAGTCAGCTCACCTCACTCGCTGCGTAGAATAAGGGGGAATGTATGACGTATAGAACGAGAGTAAAATCGATTTTCGCTAATGGGTTATTCCAGTTTTCAGCTTTAGCAGCAAATTCAAAACTATCGCATCACTTATCAAGGTAAATTCAGATCCAGCGAATCCAACCTACTAAACAAATTTCCTCTCCTGTGACTTTTGTGGGGACGCAGAGGTAAATATGGTCCCCAAAACAAAAAGGCCACTCCA